GCCTCTGGTGTCTTTGTATGATTCTAGTATGCAGTAAAGATTCTTTTATCTAGCTGAGTCTTTTTAAGTATCTTGAGTAGCCAATGACAAGTTCAAACTATGCAACATGACATTTCATTCTGTTGATATCTCAGAATCTTCTACCATAATTTTAACATCTTCAGTTTTCAATATGCCAAGTCACAGTTTTGATTTATATATAACTGATATGTAGCAGTACCTTAAGTCTTCTAATTCATTCTTTATTTTCATATTTTCTTCCTGCAATTTCTAAAAAAACAAAGATAGTATAGATAAATGATAATTGATGAAAACAGAACTCTATTTTTAAAACTTTTAATTTTCCTAATCTAAGACTCTAATGTTTCAAATCTAGACACAATGAATCATAACATCATCTTGAAATACAATCATAAGCAAGCATATTTCACCAAAAAGAGATATTTAAAATTATGAATAGACTATTGGAAATCATTTGTCTTCTTGATGCTTGTTCAACATGATTTGCAATTTCTAGCAAGATAGTTGTAAGTGAAATCTTAGTTAATATCATAAATTATTCTCTCAGAGATGATAGGATGCCTTCTTCTTTAAAAGAAGCAACTATTAGACCTTTTCTTAAGCCAGTATTGGATTCTTCAGACATGGGCAGGTAGAGATTTACCTTCACATACTGTAGCTGTGTAAAATGATTGAAAAGGTGCTCACTGTGTTCCAAATGACACAGATTATCAGCTACAGGATTAAGACTGGTTAGTCACAAACAATCTCTGTTGGGGATCACCCAGAAAAGCTTAAGTCTGTGTTTTTTCTAGACCTTTCAACATCTTTGCTAACATAAACAATGATATTCTGGATTTCTAGACAATTTTGCTGTGGTTCAATTCCAGCTTTTCAATTAGATTCAAATAGTGTTTGCTTAGATAACACTGCTGCATGAAACAGCAACTATTATTCTGTCTCCAATTCTGTATTAAATACTTTTCAGTATCTACAGGAAATCACAGAGGGAGATCATCAGGATATACTGATGACATGCAAATCTATTTTTTCTGTAAAATCATCAAGTCATAGCTACTCAAATACTTGTTTGATCATGGGCTGGATATGGTATAATAAATTGAAGCTGAAGACAAGACAAAATGAATTCATTTAGGAGACCATAAGTACAGGAAACAGATCATCCTGTTCTTTGTGGGGTTACACATGACAGGAATAAGTATGCTGTTTGGTGCTGTTTCTGAATCCAGATCTCTGTCAAATCTTCTGCTGAATTGAGGACTGACTTTTTCTTATGGTTGTTTTTCCTTCAAAAAAGCCTTAAAATACATATTTTTGAGCATTTTTGTTGGCTATAATTTTTCATTTTTATGTTAAATATATAATTGATCAATTGCAATTTTATATTTGTATTGTAACCCCTGTGAAACTGATATTTGGAAGTAATGAAAAGTTAAAAGGAAGTAAGAAAATAGCTCCTATTTTAATGTTAAAGTTTTATAAATTCAGATTCTTTACAGAGTACATATACTTTCCGGGTTTTTTTTTTTTAAAAACTATTGCTTATGTAATTGGGTAGATTTTTGAATAGATTCCTAATCCTGATTATTTGAAACATTTGCATTAGCCTGACTCTTTTATGCTTATCTCAAATTCTGCAATGCTAAAATAATGTCTTTTGAAGCAGAAAGTTCCAAGCATGAGAAATAAAGATGTCAGTCCCTACGTTCAATATAAAAATAGTACAGTAACTTGCTTAAATAGCAGGCCTGAATGTAACCCTCTTTAAATTGTGTACACAATGAAATACTTTTTTTTAACCTTGTGGTCATTCATATTCCTAAGGGGGATGTCATGTTCATTGTTCTGCTCATCTTCTCTAAGCAGCCAATTATCGTGATAAGCCGAACACAGAGACAGATGGCTGCTTGCATGGTCCTTCGGTTTGGGCTTTCCAACCTATAGCACAAAACCACACTCAGGATTGTATAAGAAAAAAATGAATTTATAAAAACAGACATTAAGAAAAAAAAGGCAATTTAAAAAGTAGGCAACATTGAATAACATGTTTCATAATTTTTTGATTCTCTGGACTTCAAATTAATCTCATGCTTCAAATTAAAAGGAACTGCTTATAACTAAGTGGTTTCTTATTTTTTCCTACCCTTAAGACCTTTAAGAAATATGCAAAGCTTAATGATTGTTAAAAAAAAAATCACATTGCATCAATTAAGGTATATATGCCTCTTATTCTGAATACATATAATAGCCATCTTTTGCTTAAACCACACCATAAAAAATAGTAAATATTTTTATGAAATTCCATAATTACACCTTACTTATCTTACCAATGGTTAAAATGTGTTTAGTAGTGAGTAAAGTAAACATAGTATGGAGATACATTCTGTCACGGGGAAACTTTTCTTTATTTCCAGCCACATTAAGATACATTCCATTTTGTGCCATCGCAATATAGTTTTGCAAATGGCATTAATATAACCTACACTGCTGAATACTACTTTCTATTATTGCAAATATCAATGAAGTTCAAAGAATAGAGCTTCTCAAGCTATATTTTTTGTTATAATAACTGTTTCTATGTGCATTTCAGCTTTTGTTGTATTCTATCCCATATAACATGAATTAAAATGAGACGTGTTTATTCTTAGGATACCAGTTTCAAATATGACTTGCCTCTTTTTTTAGATATTTTGATCCACAAATGTTAGACATTATTATTTTTAATTTTATTGCTAAAGAAAGGAATTTCCAGACATCATAATATGTGATACAGGAAACTTCATGATATGCCTCTCAAATCTTAGAACAATCTAGCCCTTTTCACATAACTTTATAAAATAAACTAGAAACACAGTTTTTTGAGTCAGATCCTTGAAATATTGAGATTTAATTGCCTTTACTAGGCACTTAAAAGGATAAGATTACAAAATCTTAAATTTCACTCCTTCACTAATAACTGCCAGTTCTTTTCATAGGACTCAATTCTTATATTGAAAGAAAGGAAGACCCACCTAAATCAGTGGGGCTTCTAAGTAAGCATTTAAATTCTACTGCTCAAATAATACATTTGGCTGTGTTGTAGGTAACGATGAGGCAGGATTACTGACTATAGTGAGCAAGGTTATATTAACCACCATACCAAATGAATTCAGAATGAGCCTCTGCAGCATAATTGTATAATTGCTTTCCCATGTGAAGCACATTATGCCTATCTAATTCTTTCCAAAAGCCTTGTTTTTAAGTCATCCTGCAGCTTGCAAAATAGATAAATAGCAGCCATATGCTCATCTTTGCAAAAACTGTGAATGATGTATTCTGACTAAGAACATGAAAACAGTATGCTTCCCACTGCAAAATTTCAGAGGTGGAACAGAATTGGGCTGACCAAAGAAGGCTGTACATATGTATTAATCTACAGGGCAGAAAATGTTATTTACTTAAAGTATTGCTCTAAATTAGAAGTTTTCAACCTGAATTTCTCAAAAAAAAAAATCAAGGATTCCAAATGTACAACATTTCAAATTTGTTGCCCTAAATCAAAAAATGCCAGATGAAAAGTTGAAAACAAATAAAAAGATTTCTGTGCCACCAATGATTTTTCAAGGCTTTTCTATTTCTTAAGTCAAGAAATGAAGCTCCAAGTAACTATGGATAAAAGTAAAAATCCCAAAACATTCCACATCTTCACTATCAATTTGCCACTCTTTTATATGGCTCAATTCTCATTTTAAAAACTGGGGTATCAGGAACAGTTGCAATGATCCTTGGTAAGAAAGCAAAGATATATTATTCTAATGTCAGCACATTTTCAGAAACAGAACAAGTCAAACTTGAGTTCACCCAATGTCTAAAAGCTATTGGGCTTTTAAAGGTTTCAGGTTTAAACAATATTTTAGCAAGGAAAGGAACTTTCTTTGATCTGGCAAGTGTCAAGTCTACAATTTCATTTTTGTTTGCAACTATGTTCAAATTTTATAAGGATCTCTATTAGTATACTTTGCAAGAACTGAATAGCTAGCTTTGTGCTGAGATTTTTTTAATCTATTGAACATTTATAAAAGTGAACACTGATTTTTGCAAGAAGCCTCACAGACATGGTATATTCGTTGCAAAAGAATCTGACAAGAAGGCTTTAGCCTTCTGCAGAGAATAGCCCAAGCAATGTCTGAAGCATCCATGTAATTTGAGAACAAAAACGGCACTGCTTTAACGTGCTGAAATAACAGATACAAGCACCAAAAGAGTAAACCATATATAACTTGACAGTGACCAAGAAAATAAATGTTCAACGGAAGAGTATTCAAATCTTTGCTTTCTCTTGTGTTACTGCAACTCAGGGCTATTTTTTTTCTACTCTTATTTCTCTTCAGATTGTATAAATCTTTTATCTTTTACAGTCTCAGTAGTAAGAGAACTTGTAAAAAGAGAGATATTAAACCCGAAAAGTTTCATATGTGTGATAGTCCGTGGATAGGCTTCTCCATTGTAGTTGCCTGCACCAACATGTAAACGTCCAAGCTTCGGATCCATTATCCAGTGCCCATCAAAAAGGCAGGGCAGTCAGGAGTGCTCCAATAATCACATGAAACTCACAAGACCAATTGTATGATGATAACTAAATATACACAAATTGTTTTACAAAGCAACATATGCTTCAGTGTGTGTTTAATTAGTCAATTTAAAGCATTTTTCCCTGTAATAATACCTCATTCAATTTTTTTTTAAAGCATAGCATTTGATCTTGCAGTCATAAATGCAGTAAGTTTTAAAAAATATTTCTTCTTACAAAATCCCAGATCACTTTTGCCTGTTGTATCATCTTTTATAGAAAAGTAATGTGCTGCCCTCTAGAGGCACACAAAACCTTTATTGATGCTGAGAAGATTGTAGAATGACCGCTTTCTTTCTTAAAAAATGAAGGTAAACAAAGTACTTGAAGAGTGTTGTTTTTTCAACCAGTCTCTTTCAATAGAAAAGAGGTCAACTGAATTAACATTATCTTTCAAATATAATTATAAGTGTACTGCATTAGCTTCCTTCTACCAAATATAAGAAAAGCAAATCAGTGACAAAGTCATTACTTTTAGATACAATTTTTTGCATCCTTATGGGATCCTGATTTTGGGGGCAGATTTAGAAGGTTGGAAAAATATCAAGAACCCATCAATAAAATAAATGCCACAAGCCATGCTTACTCACACAAGGGCTGTAACTTGCCTAAGATATTTGAGTACAAAACAGTACAACTGATGTGATATTTTAACTGGTTCTCCACTAGCTCGTATGGTGCCCAGCAAGGTAGTATCCTTCTGAAGGCTGTGTCAGTGGGTAGCGTTGAGCAGGTCACATGGAATGAAACATAACATGCAACATAGCTGGTTTTAACAGGACTCTAGACTTTACAAAATGCCTTAATTTATCTATAGTGATTGAATCACGGAGGTATCTGTACACGTTGGTTTAGCAAAATTAGTATTTTTCTATATTCATTGATAGTTGCCCACTTTTAATTGAATTGTTTATTCTCCAGAAATGAAATGAAGAAATAAATATATCCTAAATAAAAAATCCACCTACATTCACAGGAATAGTTTCAATCATAGTTTGCCAAAACTGTGATTTTATTGTCATTACATATTAAGCAAAATACATTTATTTGAATAAACTGAAATTCGTTTACGTGCCACTTTTAATAATACTGAACGCTGCTTTTTAATAGTTCCAAATCATCTTCGGCATTTATGCAAAATTTCTCAGCTTAGATAAATCTAAACGCATCATTACTGGCATTTAAATTTGTTCAATTCATACAAAATTACACTTTCTCCCTGGAGTCTAGCATCTCTGTATTTACTTATAAAATCCTATTTTGTGAATCAACAGAAATCCAATTATGGAGCTATGTATTTAGTTATTTAAAAAAAACTATTTTTTAAAAAGTCATATATAAGCACCATTTGTTAGTATCATGAATATTTGCATCATGTATCTTGCACCTAATTTTAGCTCAGCTATATTGGATATATATTGGATTGCATCTAGCCAATCTTGGCCAAGCTCCAAAAGATATGCAGAATGAGACCTGCTTAATAGTGGGATGGAAGACCACTGGGACATATCAGAACTGTAGGCTACTGAAAAGTAAAAAAAAAAAATAATAATCCAGAAGATGTCAATGGCAAATCATATTCCCATCAGATCTGGCAGAGAAGGCATGCTACAGGTCTCGTCCACCAGGGTATTATATTTGGCGGGTCCCAGGAGGTGGGCCTTCTCTGCCATGGCACCCGCCTTGTGGAATCTTCTCCCCCCAGGAGTGAGATTAACTCCATCCCTCTCAACATTCTGCAAGTCCTTCAAGACCTAGCTATGTGATCAGGCCTGGGGGGCCCGGGGACTGGGGAGATGTTGCGATAGGTCCCTTATTAATATTATCCCCTCCTGTTTTGTGTGCTTTTATAGTTATTTTTACTTGTAATTGTTTTTTATGTATTTATTCTTTTTAATTGTTGTACAGTGCCCAGAGTCACTTTTATGTGAGGCGGGTAGCTATATAAATACAATAAATAAATAAATAAATAAATAAATAAATAAATAAATAAATAAATAAATCTTATCAAGAAAACTATATGGATGTGGTCCATGAAGTCAACAAGAGTCATGTTTGGCTTGAACTCCTTCTGCCATCTTCTTCCCGCTGCTGACAAGGAACGCTCAGCCTGGCCTTATGCAAGGCAGCTGCTGGCCACAACAGGCCTTCTTCCCAAGGCTGCTTACACTGTTCTCCAAACAGCACACACCATTCTTGGGAAGCTTCAAAAAGTTTCTGAGGCCTTCTGAAACCTCGCGAGAAGGTCATGTCCACTGTTCTCCAAATCGCATTCGCTGTTCTCACAATGCTTCAGTTTTAAAAAGGAAGATAAAAACTAATACAAACTATAAAGAAAAAGAAAAGAAAAAGAAATAGAAGAGAAAGCCAGATGCAAGAAAGGGGGGAAAAGTAAAAGAAAAATAGAAAAGAAAGAAAAATGATACAAGAAGTAGTTTCCAATCTTCTTTACAGCAGTTATAAGGATAATTATAAATTTATCACTTACTCTGTGGTTACAACATGACTCTCTTCTTTCTATAATCTGTCCTGTCTAATCATCAAAACCATAAATCATATGCCCATTTTTTTCTGTTTTACACAAAAAGTCCATTCCAGTCAGCAATAAACATAAATATTGTCTTTTCTCTGATCAAAGAAATCAATTTAGCCATCTCAGCAAGTTCCATCATCTTCACAAACCATTCCTCCATTGTGGATAATGCCAAATCTTTCCATCTTTGTGCATATAATAATCTGGCTGCAGTTATCATATGTAGCCAGGGAATGAGGGTGC